GTCCCACTCATAGACACCCTTCCTTAGGTTTCTGAGGCGGTATCACTACAGCAGTAGGTTGCCCAATCTTCCTTCCAAGGAGGAAGGGTTTGAACCACCAGCCTTCTTGTTAGCAGTCAGATGCCTTAGGCACTATGCCACCAGAGCTCCTAATGTGTCCATCGACATAATAAACTACTATTCAAGAAGGACAGTGAAAGAGAAGGAAATAGGCAGATTGCCAGAGGGAAGTGTGAGTTTATTTTTTTCAAGTTAGTGAGAGAAAAAAGCCAAAGAAATGAAAGAAATGGAAGAAAGAAATGGAAAATGTTAGGTTAAAAATTGAGTATGTTTTGGGAGCAAAAAAAAAATGTATTATAGTAGAGAAGTTAATCCCAGGTGGTTTTGTTTTTTTGGCAAGTTGGAGGAGAGATCATTTGTAACAGGATAGCAGTTTGTACTTGGATGCCTAAGTAGAGAAAGGGAATATGTCAACAATAGTCATCATGGAAAATTTACCAGGAAATCAGCAAGGTTTCAATAAAAAGGTTGGTGCACAGTTGAAAGAACTTTATTGAAAATGGATGGCAAAAGTTTAGTAAGGATATGTAATTTTTGTTTCTCTTGTAGAGCAGGAATAAACTGAAGAGCATGACATAGTTTTAGAGTCATACTTGAATTTGAATTTGAATTCTGGCTCTGTTACTGGTTACATGATTTTTATTTAATCAATATGAACTTCAGTTTCCTTATATCTAAAATAGATAAAACACATCTGTTGTAGATATAGTATTAAATGAGATTGTGTTGGAAAATTCCCTAGCTAAAAGGTCTATAAATGATAGTTCCCTTTTCTTCTTACTAAAGAGTGAGCCATAGTCAGTGCATGGCAGTGTTAAATTAAAAGTGAGGGTGACATTTAAGGGACTAATTGTGGTTCCGGGCTGAAAAGGAACTCCAGAGTAGTTGGGAATAATTGACTGGGTGAAAAAGGAGAGGAATTGAATGATTAAACGTTCAGGCATGGGTAAAAATAGAGTCAGTAGGTATGGTAGCATGGGTGTAAAGATATCAAGGGAAGCATGGAACAAGAGAGGAGTTGGTAGTTCTCCTGGAGAAACCAGTGTGCACTTAATATGGAGTTGAGGTAAAGTTGTGCAGAGAAAAGGAACTGAAAAGTCACATTTTATGGCTTACCAACATGCATACTGAAATCTGTGAAACAGGACTTCTGGTCAGATGGAGGAATAGGCAAACAAGTGACACAGACCCTCTGCAACAAAGAAAAGAAAAACCAATTGACAGAGATATAGAAGATAATCCTGGAGTCCTGAGCTTTGAAAAGAACTATGCAGAAGTGGATTAGGCACCAACTAGTGGAAAAACGTGAACGAAAACAGTGAGTACAGAGACGGTCGGAGCTGCAGACTGTCAGCTACTCCGATGGGACCAACAGCCTGAATATTTCCAAGTGGTGTTAGGACCTGAGAATTGACCTACAGATCAACCCTGGTCACCAAGGGCTGCAGGGATGACTGCGCTGGTTGCCTATAACTGGGAAGGGAAACAACAAGGAGGGAGACAACCTGAGCTGTTGACTTTCCTCTGTCCGGAGAGTGCAGCCATTTTGAATGTTTACAAGGGGTGGCCACTTTGGATATTTAAAGTGACTGAGAGCACAGCCATTTTGAATCTTTACAAGTGGCAACCATTTTGGATTTTAAAGTGATAGCATTCTCATTCGGATTCCAGGGACCTAAGAATAGGCTCTGTTTGCCAAGGTCAGCAGGGACATAAGCGCAGCTGACAACAGGAAAGGAGACAGGTGGTGAGCGTATAAGTGCTGTCAACCAGCGAATGGAGGAGCACAGTACCCTGCTTGCGTAGATAACATACAAACAAAACAAAGAAAATGAAAATCATGGACAAGTCACTCCAACATACAGTCACCAATTAAATATAAACACAAAAACATCACAATGCCTCGGAGACAACAGAACATCACAGTCCACACAAAGAAGCAAGGTAAAACAGGAGAAACAAGGGACCAGGATACAGACCCAAAATACATCCCTGAGGAAGATACAGCATTAGAACTCCCTGATAAGTAATTCAACAGAATTATATTTATGTATCTTCAATGAATTGAGAGACAGATCAAGGAAAACACAGAGAAAACCCTAGAACAATTTTGAAAGACAATACAAGAACAAAATGACAAAATAAATGAAAAATTAGAAATGATACAAATCTACAGACGGAAATCCAGAAGATTAATACTAAATTTTCAGAAATAGATAAGACATTGAATGGGCAAAGGAGCAGAATTGAATCAATGGAAGACAGATTAGTGAGATTGAAGGCAAACGCCTGAACATGTCCTTGGAAAGGGATAAATCAGAAAAAAACATGAAAATAAAATAAAGAAAGCCTAAGGTTCATGTGGGATACCATCAAAAGGAATAACCTACATGTAATCAGAATTCTAGAACAGGAAGAAAAAAATAAAACCACAGAGAAAATTGTTGAAGGTTTGTTGGAAGAGAATTTCGCTGGTATGATACATGAGAATATATCCATTCAAGAAGTTCAACGAACCCCAAACAGGATAGACCCCAAAAGAAAATCACCCAGACATATCATCATCAAACTTACCAAAACCAAAGACAAAGAAAGAATCATGAGAGCAGCATGGGAAAAACGAAGTTACCTACAAGGGGCAACATACAAACAAAACAAAGCTTTGTTGAAACTTAGTCTTATTGAAGACTAAGATCGGATTTCTTGACAGAAACCATGCAGGCAAAAAGACAATGGGATGGTATATATAAAATGCTGAAAAAGAAAAATTTCCAACCAAGTATTATGTACCCAGGAAAATTGTTTCTCATATATGATGGTGAAATTAGAACATTTCCAGATAAGCAGAAATTAAGGGAGTTTGTTAAAATCAGACCAGCCTTACAAGAGATGCTAAAGGGAGCTCTTTGGACAGAGAAGCAACAACAGCCAACAACAACACATGATACTATAACCCAGAAACCAAGCCAGCTATCGAAGTATCCGAAGTAAATAAGCCTACAAGATTGTAAACAAGGAACCAGAGACATCTATTGACAAATGAGGACAACTACAAACCAAAAAGAGGGAAAAAAACTTTGTCTTTACAGAACTTCTAAATGGTGGGGAAGTCAAGATAACTACAAGATAGAATGGACTTTTCTAAACTTGGGAAGAAAATTGTAAATCACAGAGTAACCTCAAAGAAAAATGATAAACCTTCACATCAAAAAAGAGGGTGAGCATAAATATTCAGCAATACTAAAACAATAGCAATGAAGGAAGTGATAACACGATTCATAAACCAAATGAGCTCAGCCTGGAAAATTATGTGAAACAAAGAGATCAATACCACAAAAAAAAAAAATTAACAAAAATGACAACAAATTCATATTTGTCGATAATTACATATCTGGCAAGGGACTTATCTCTAAGATTTATAGCAGAAGAGTGGATGACCAAACTATGGTACATACACATAATGGAATGCTATGCAGCACTAAAGAATAATGCAGAGTCTGCAAAACACTGCATAATATGGATGAACTTGGAGGACATTATGCTGAATGACATAAGTCAATCACAGAAGGACAAATATAGTATTAGTTCATTGTTGTGAATGGTCAAGGAAAGGTTTATATATGGAGGGAAACTTTCTTTGTTGGTTGCCAGCAGTGGGAGGGGAGGGGAGAGAACACTGCAAAAAAAAAAAAAAAACCCACAACATTGAAATCTGTCAAATAGTTGCAGGCAGGAAGATAGGCAGACCATTGATAGAATTGCTGACATATATCCCAATGATAAAGAAAGGCTGGTGGGTAGATTTAAACAAACAAACAAACAAAAAAAGTAATGATACAGTGAAGGCAGTAAAAATCTTGCTGATGAGTTGCAGAGCAAGGATGATGAGTTTCCAGTCCCAAAGTTGTAACCCCATCCATTCTGTCTGGCATAATAGGACATTTGAAATTGCAATAGGAGAAGACAATTTCTATTTGCCTGAAAAGAATTAAAGAGAAGCTGAGAAATTGGTTTAGAATAATAGAATTAATCAATAGGAAATGGAAAATTAGGGGATGGAGGAATATGATTAGGTGAGGTGTATATGGATTAAATAGCCTTTAAAGTTTAAGTGTAGGAAAACGAGAAAGGTTTGAGCTCCATGGAGAGTTTCAGGAGGAAGGAATAAAGGAAACCACTTATTTGTAAGTGGTTTGATATGGGAAACATATTGGAACTGGTGTTGTAGGAGAGAGAGCATAAGATATGGAGTGAAGAGGCTAGCCTGGAATCTTGAGATGCTATTAACTAGTCAAGTGATCATAAACAAATCTTCTGTATCCCCTTTACCTTACCTGCAGAACTAAGCAATTGGACTGGATCTCTGAGGTCCCTCTAAGGTCCTCAGTAGATCCCTTTGATACTCCTGTTTATGATTCTAGCAACACTGTCCAGTTCTTTGATGATGGGAAGATAGTATTTGCAAGCTGTCTAATATGGTGGCCACTAGCCACTAGCACTTAAAATGTGGCTAGTGCGAATAAGAAAATGTTTAAATGGCCACTATTGCTACTGGCTACGATAGTGGTCAGCACAGTTTTTAGACAAATTACTCTTAAGTGCTGTTGGATTTATTTGTTTCCTGTATTAATAAGTTTTTTATGCCTTTCCAGTATTTGCTTTCTGATGTAGTTGTCACAGTTGATTGTTTTGTTAATAAATTAAGAAGGAAAAAAGTATTAAATCTTGTTCCAGTGTTATTTACTAAGCTTATCCATGAACTATGGGATGAAATGTTTTAAAATGATAGCTAAATATGATAGAGGTAAGACATTTTTGGCCAATTAATTATTTGGGTATTGTAGTAGAATTCTAGATCTAGTGAACAGTGTTGCTCTATTTAGTTCTCCAATATGTAGAATACTAAGAGTGATTCTGTGTTTATTTCTGTAATTCTCTAGACTATAATAGAACTCTCTGAAGAGCGAGATGGTCTTCATTTTCTACCCCATGCCTCATCATCTGCACAGTCACCCTGTGGTTCTCCAGGCATGAAGAGAACAGAAAGTCGACAGCATCTGTCAGTGGAACTAGCAGATGCTAAGGCCAAGATAAGAAGGCTTAGGCAGGAACTGTAAGTTGCTGATTTTTAAGACTCATTGAGTTAATACAGCCACAAAAATTACCCAAAATATTTTTAGGCTTGTGGAATATATATATATATGTATTTGTGATTCCTAGGTGCTAGCCTGCGTCAAAGACTTCACCAGTATTTGTCAAAATAAGACTGCCATAAGGTTTTCCATCCTAAACTTTTAAAATTAAAGGATGCCCTTTAATTTTGGATTTATGTTCTTCTGTCACTCTCGTTTTAAAATATCCTTTGTTTTATAAAATAATGTCCTTTCCTGGCAAATTGAGCTCTCCTTAATTTTTCCTTTTTGAATTCTTTTAAATCTGGAGTCCACTGACATAAATCAGTAAGTTTTGCTCCTTTAAAATTATTGTTAAAAAAAAAAAAAAACTGAGTTATTTACATACATTATCACAAAAAAAGAAAGAAAACCCTGATTTTGAGTGTATATCTTTTGTGTTGATTAATAGAAATGCCTGAATAATGTACTTAATAAGAGTAAATATTCAGAATTACTTAGTACTGATGCAATTATATTTATTTAACTTTCAAAGATCATTACAGAAAAGTCAGTATAAATGTCACCTAGGCATTCCTTGGTGGACCACATGCAAAGAAGTGACTAGATTTTTTATTTTTCACTTTAAAAAGAACAAAGGATTTTGTTTTCTTCCCCAAGTTGGGAGGTTGTTTTTCATGGAATTTGAACATCAGGGTGCAGATTTTAAACTTAAAACTATAACATAGGGATTAAATTTATTTACTAATTATTTAAAGCAAATTAAGAGAGTAGATGAATCTGTAAAGTGAAAAAAAATCTAGTCTACAGGAAATTTTGAAAACAAAAAGATAGAGCTTTCGTTTGTGGCTGTCTGCATTATTATATATCTATTGAAGTGAACACGCCCAGGATATTCTATAAACAGCTGCACCAGGAAAATTAGGAAAGAGATTGCTGTTATTAGTTTGACTGGCAGTTAATGGATGGCTTAAACAGTGCACACTAGTTTGTTCCATATAATTTAGCACAATCTTCTCTCATCTTTGGAAAAAAGCATGCAATTAGAACTGCAGTGATGACTGTGAATTCATTTAACATTTTGCACTATGTTAGAATTCAATTTTTAAATAAAATTTACTTGTTCATGGGTCTATTAAAATTTCAAACAACTTAAATTGATAAAGTTTGATTTCCATATATGCTGATAGGAAAATGCAAATGATTATGTTTAGTGAGCAAGTAACATGCCAAGTATAAGAAATATTCCCAATAACTAGCATTTCATCATATACCATCTAATAATCTTTGTTGTCCTTAGAAAATGTGTTCCTTCTTGGATTTCTTCCATCGATACTTGTTTTAAACTCATTTTGTTGGAACAGATTTTTTGCTACAATGACTGAAGTAAGGAGATCATGGTGAAAAAATAGTCCAGGTTGCCTTTTACTTAATGGAAACTACAAATAAATTATTAAAACAAGAACATGTAAATTAACTTAATAAATTCACATATATGGGTGGTACTTAGTAATATAATTATATTACTCTTGATTAATAAACATGCATGTTGTTGTTGTTATGTGCCATGCATAGTGAAAGAATAATTTTCCATGGGTAGAAAACAAAGAAATTCCTTATTAATTTTACTTTTAGCAATAGTTAACACTATGAAACTACCAGTTATTGTGTAGTTGACTCTGAATCATGGTGACTGCACATGGGCCCACTCCAAAGGATAGAACTTGGTTCCCCATTCTGTCTTGCCATTAGTTCCTGCTAACCATTAACCCATTTTCTGTTTCTGTGGATTTGCCTATTCTAGACATCATATAAATCATATAAATGGAATCAAACAATATGTGGCCTTTTATGACCAGTGAAAGACCACTAGTGTAATGTGTTCAAGGTTCATCCATGTTGCAGCAGGTATCAGGACTTCATTTATCTTTATGGCTGAATATTATTCCATTGTATGAATAGACCACATTTTATTTATCCACTTATCAGTTAATGGGCATTTGGTTTGTTTCTATTTTTGGTCTATTGTGAATGATGCTGCTGTGAACATTCATGTGTAGGTTTTTTGTTTTGGTATAAACATATGTAAGAAAACATACACCCATTCAACCTTTTTTGTGTGTGTAGTTCTGTCATATTGCTTGCGTTCTTTACATTATATCACCATTCTTGCTATCTCTATCCATATTGTTTCCCCACCATTAACTTCACTTCTCTGTCCCCTGAACCGCTTATCTGTGTTTTAAAGTCATTGTTGTCAATTTGATCTCATATACATAATTCTGTAAAAGAGCACAAAGCTCAAGGCAAACATTATTTACTAGTTGAGCTAAACTCTTGTTTAATTTAAGAATGACTTAATGGGATAGTTTGAGTTCAAGGCTTAAAGTTATTTCAGGGCAGTACTTTCAGTGACTCCTCCATTCTCAATTGGTCCAATGAGTGGTTTCTATAAGAATTTGAATTTTTGTTCCACATTTTTCCTCTTTTTCATAAGGAAACATTCAGTAATAGTAGCTGGCCACCATCCTGTTGTTCTTGTCTCATGGAGTTAGTAGTTTATGGAGACAGTTAGACCTGTAGTCCATTTCCTTCTTCAGTTCCTGGGCCTCCTTCTTCCTCTCTTGCTCCAGACAAATAGAGACCAGTTGTATCTTGGGTGGTTGCTAGCAAGCTTTCAAGACCTATGCACCATGCATTAAACTAGTAGATAGAACAGAGACTCTAAATACAGTGTAAGGTGAATTGACAGGACAAACTCATGAAATCATGACCCTAAACCTTCAGACAAAGAAAACTCACCTTATGCAGTATTTAGTTGTACATAAATGGTATGAATAACTGCTTTCTTTCTTTTGTTTGTTTTTTTTTTTTTGGTTGCTGCTATTGTTGAGGGAGCCCTGTTCATGTAGTGCCTAAGGCATTTGACTGCTAACCAAAAGGCTGGTAGTTCAAACCCATCAGCCACTCCTCGGAAGGAAGATTGGGCAATCTACTTCTGTAGTGATACTGCCTTGGAAACTGAAGGAGTGGTTGCTAGGAGTCGGATCCGACTTGACAGCAGTGAGGGTTTTTTTTTTTTTTTTAGTTTTGCTGTTGTTGTAAAATTTTATGTAACACTGTATTTACCATTTTGCCCTTTTTCTGGTATACATAGTGGTATCAGTTACATTTGTCAAGTTGTGTAACTTTATCCTTAGTTGATGCCAATTTTCCCATTACCACAGACAAAAATTCACTTCTTGCCAGAAATTGATTCCCTCTCTCCCTCCACCCTCTCCCAGCCTTGGTAAGCATTAGTTGTTGTTATGTGCCATTGAGTCAGACCCAACTCATAGTGACCCCTTCTTGGGTTTCTGAGGTGGTATCATTATGGAAGTAGATTGCCCAACCTTCCTTCCGAGGAGTGGCTGGTGCGTTTGAACCGCCAGCTTTCTGGTTAGCAGTCAGGTGCCTTACACACTGTGCTACCAGAGCTCCCTGGCAAGCACTAATAACCATGGATCTCTGTTCTTATCTTTCATATAAGTAAGTTTATACAATATTTGTCCTTTTGTGATCAACTTATTTAACTTGCCATAATGTCTTCATGGTTTATCCATGTTGTAGCAGGACTTCATTTCTCTTTATATCTGAGTAATACACCTTTGTATATTTGTTCCACATTTTGTTTATCTGTTCATCTGTTGGTGAGCACTTGGTTTATTTCTACCTTACAGCTATTGTGAATAATAATGCAGTGAACACAGGTATTCATATCACTACTTTTAGATCTGTCGGTTATATACCTAGGAGTGGAATTGCTGAGTCATACGGTAGATCTGTTTTTTGTTTTTTGAAGACTCCCCATACTTTTCTCCACAATGGTTGTACCATTTTACATCCCCACCAGCAATGGATAAGGGTTCTGATCTCCCCACATCCTCTCCAACATGTGTTATCATTATTATTATTTTTTTAAATCATTGCTATTCCAGTAGGAGAGATATAGCATTTCATCATAGTTTTGATTTGCACTTCTCCAGTGGCCAATTATGATGAGCATCTTTACATGTGTTTGCTGGCTGCTTGAACATCTTCTCTGGTGAAGTGTCTGTTCATGCCTTTGCCCATTTTTTTGATTGGGTTATTTGTCTTTTTGTTGTTGTTGACATTTTATATATACTTTGGCTATTAGACCTTTTTCAGCTATATGGCTCCTAATGATTTTTGTCCGAGGTTTTTTAATAAAGTCTTTTGATGAACATAAGTAGTACTGCTATCTGTGTATTTGTTGTTGATTTTGATAATCTGTCGTTAAAGAACATTTGGGTCCTGTGGTCTCAGGGGACATCAAGCTTGATTGGTGCAACATATGGCACAAAAACATTGTTCTACATCTTACTTTGGTGAGTAGCAACTGGGTCTTAAAAGCTTGTGAGCAACCATCTGAGATGTAACTATTGGTTTTTCCTCGTCTGGAACAAAGAATGGTGAAGAAAATCAAACACTTATGGAAACAGTCCAAGGGACCATGGGAACCTCAGACCCTGAGAGGAGAAAAACTAGATGGGGCCCAGCTACCAATGCCAGATACTCAGAAAGGGATCAAAATTGAAGATTATGAATAGAGTGAGAAAAAAAATGGGGAACAAAATACAAAAATAAAAGAAAGACCAGGATTATTGATCAGATAGAGCCTGATGAAACCCCTGAGATTATGGCCCCAAGTCACCCTTCAGGCCTGGAATCGGACTCACTTTTAGCCAAACAGTAGGCCTGCAAGCTCAACAACTACATCAGGGAGATGCAATCCTTAGAACAGTCAACTATGAAAGATCAGAATGGCAGCATTTTTATAGGAAGAAAGGCACGCAGGAATGCATAGGAAAGAAGGACACAGGGAAGGGGTAATGACAGAGAGGAGGTAGGAGGACAGCTGTTACATTGTGGGGAATGTAATCCTTGTCACAAAACAAAATTTACGTGGATTGTTGAATGT